GATGACCTCAAGGACCACAAAGAAGCCACTTCCGCTCTTCCTCGTCAAGACGAAGATGCCGGAAAAGCTTGCAGAGATCCAGAGGCTGGCCATGCTCACGGTCAGCTTCGAGAGGAAGAAAAAGTCTTCCGAGCCCAGCCAATGTTACCGCTGCCAGCGGTACGGGCACACACAGCGGAACTGTCGTCTCGCTGAACGGTGCGTTAAGTGTGGAGAGGACCACAACAGCACCAGCTGCAGTCTGCCAGCGCCGCCAACAGGGCAACGAAACGCCAAATGTTGCCTCTGTGGAGAAGGCCACCCCGCCAACTACAAGGGATGTAGTAAGGCGCCGAAGAAAGCTGCTTCTGCCCCCAAAGCAGTCCCCACCACAAATAGGACTTCTTACGCTCAAAAAGCGAAGAAGCCTATGTCCACTTCTGCCCCAGCAGCCGCCACTGCTACTGGAACTACTGCGCAGAAGCAACACGGCGATGACAGACTGCTGGCAATGATGCAAGCCATCATAACCCGCCTGGATGCACTCGAGGCCAAGATGCAAGACAAGCACTAGACCCGAAATGTCTACAGGTCAAAACGTAGAATCTCTACGCATTATCTCCTGGAACATCAACGGATTCAGGGCACGGAAACCAGAAATCCAGGAGATACTAGACCAGTACCAACCAGAGGTGATGGCCATCCAAGAAACGAAGTTGGATGCTGCCCATAGTCTGACGTTCCCGCGGTACGAGACGTACCGCTACGACAGAAGGGGCAGAGGTGGGGGAGTCGCATTACTCGTCAAACGTACCTTGACGAGTCATGTCCTCGACGATGCCGCAGACATAAATGGGGACGGAATCACGGTCCAGGTCCATCACAACCACCGTCCCTACAGAATCACCTCCCTATATGTGCCACCAGGGGAGGCCCTAGGCGAAGATGACATCGCTGATCTCCTGAGAGGCCCAGGAGCACGCATAGTCATCGGAGATCTAAACTGCAAGTCTCCGGCATGGAACAACAACGTCGAAGACAGGAATGCAAGGCAGCTCCAGGAACACGTCGATGCCCTGGCGGGGGTCATCGTAGGTCCGGAGCAACCAACCTACATTCCATTCGGCCTTGGGCGACCTGCGGTACTGGACATAGCCATCCTCCGCAACATCAGAGAGGAGTTCGAGATAGAGAGCCTGGTGGAAGGATCATCGGACCACAATCCGATTCTACTAACACTTGGTACAGGGTCTAGAACTCGAGATAGCTTGAGCACCAAACGGACGAACTGGAACCTGTACAAATCCAACGTCCAAAGGAACATCACTCAAATTCCAACCATCCGATCAGCGGAGGAACTGGACAACGCAGTAGAGGAGCTGGAGAATGCTGTCCTGCGAGCGCACGAGGACAGCACCCGCTCCGAGACTACGGCAGTTCCTAGACACCTAAATGGTCCAGCACCTCACCATATTAGGCACCTGATCAGGGAGAACAGAAGACTCAAGCGAGAACATCTCCAGCTGTTGACAGAGGAGTCGAGAGTTGCGCGAAACAGAGCATCGTTAGCTCTGAAGAACGCACTCGCGGAACTCCAAAACAACAGATGGAATGCAGCCTGTGCAGAACTAGAGACCCAGGATGGTACGGCCTGGTCTATGCAGCGAAAATTTCGTCGTCAGCGCACCACGATCCCCACTCTTCACGGCCAACGCGGCTTGGCCTACTCCAGTGAAGAAAAAGCCGAAGCATTCGCCGATTCGCTAGAATCCGAATGCAGACTCAATTACCATGAAGACGAGGACGACAACCACGAGGAGGCCGTGGAAGTCGCAGCCGAAAACATGAGGAGTCGACCACCTGGCCAGGAGACGGATCACCCATCCAGTCCAGAGGAAATCCGTCTGATCATCCGCAGGTTGAAGGTCAGAAAGGCGCCGGGAAGGGACGGCATCAACAATAGGATGCTGAAGAACCTTCCCACCAAAGGCATTGCTGCGCTCACCAACATCGCCAATGCCACTCTGAGACTTAACCACTTCCCGCGGCGGTGGCGGGAAGCCCAGGTTATAATGCTCACCAAGCCAGGCAAGGACCGGAAGTTGCCCCAGAACTATCGGCCCATCAGCCTGGTTTCCTCGGTGGGCAAAGTAGTCGAAAAGGCTATCGCCGTTCGACTAGAGAAGCAGGCAGAAGAACTGCAACTTCTCCCCCCAGAGCAATTCGGCTTCAGATCCTCCCACAACACGGAACTCCAAGCGCTACGACTGACGGAAAACATCACCAGCGGCTTCAATCTCCAGGAGGCAACCGGTCTCGTCCTGCTGGACGTGGAACGAGCCTTCGACCGAGTTTGGCACGATGGACTCATCGCCAAAATGGAAGCCGCCGGAATCGATGCGAACATGTGCCAACTAATCCAGAGCTATCTAACACAAAGATGGTTCACGGTGAAGATTGGTACATGCCATTCAACAAGACGTCAGCTGGAAGCAGGCGTGCCCCACGGGTCAGCCTTAGCCCCCCTGCTCTACAACATCTATACTTACGATGTGCCGAAGACAGCTGACACAATGCTGGCCCTATATGCAGACGACACTGCTATAGCCGCCAAGCATAGACGACCCGAGATCATCCGTAGGAGACTACAGGGTGAACTGGACCAAATTCAGGACTGGTGCGTGAAATGGAAAATCCGCATCAACGTCCAGAAGACGCAGGCAATCTTCATTCAACGAAGAAGGATTGCAAGACCTCTCGAAGCATCCATCTTCGATGAAGATATCCAGTGGAGCGACAATGTCAAATATCTGGGGATCGTTTTTGACAAGTCCCTCACCTGGAAAGCGCACATAGAAGCTGTCATCGCAAAAACCAGAGCAGCCATGGCTCAACTCTATCCATTACTGGGTAGACACAGCCAGATGCCGCTAGCGACCAAGCTACGGCTGATCAAGGCCATCGCCAGACCTCAGCTCGCTTACGCCTCCGCGGTCTGGGGGTACGCTGCCCCCAGCTACCGCAAGCGACTTGCTGCTCTAGAGATGAAGCTACTCCGGATCGCCACCAATGCACCTTCCTACGTAAGGAACTCAACCTTGCGTAGAGACCTGCATTGGGATACCATCCACGAGTACATGAGGAAAAAAGCGGAGAAGACCTTCGAGAAAGCTCAGGACCACCCGAACGAGCAGCTACGATTCCTCATGGACTACGATCCGGACGAGAGGCCTCGCAACCGCAGAACCAGGTACTCCAGACCAAGGTCCCAGTTGGCACCCGCTAACTGGAACCTTGACTAGGAGACTAGGAGAATTTGCGGCTGCTCCCCCCCCCCCCACGGCGTGGATGCAGAGGACCAGGAACCACCAGGACCAGGACCAACCAGGACCAGGACCCGCCACGACCAGGACCCACCAGGACCAGGACCCTTCAGGACCAGGACCAGGAACAACATATTGGTAAGAGGACTGATTTTTCGAAAACAAGAGTTTCAAGAGAAACTAGCAGACCCTCTATCGATGATCGCTTAACGACATCGATAGAATGTGCGAGGTAAAGGGAACCAACCCGGCGTTCCCAGAGACTGAAACACATGAGGAGACGTTGTAGCAGACCGCAGGTCACGCACAACACATGGCCTACCGAGACGCTGATGAGTCGGGCCACGCGGAGGTTTAGGGTTTAGTGGGTATTAGGTGATCTCTTCAAGACCCTGGAGCCCCACACACGTCGTAGCTCGTGCTATGGTATGGTGCGTAAATGCATTCCCCCCTCGTTAAAAAAAAAAAAAAGTCGGGGCAAGGGCTATACGCGGCATTTCAGCAGGGAGATTTACACCAGAAAAGACTGGATTTGTGGGTGCAACAGAAAGAATGCCCTTTTCTGTTTTCCTTGCATACTTTTCGGCGGTGACAAATCTTGGACGGAGGTAGGTGTTACAGATTTAGTGCACCTGAGTGAAAAAATTAAGAAGCATGAAAACTCTAAAACATATCTCCATAATTCGATGAAATTGACTTTATTGGGACTGTTAACATCAGAGTTCAGTTAGATTCTGCATATTGGAGAAATATACAACAGCATAATGATACCGTTACAAAAAACAGGTACGTTCTATCAAAAATAATCGAATGTATAAAATTTTGCGGGGCATTTGAATTGGCGCTACTGGGCCACGACGAAACCGATAGCATCCAAAACCCGGAAATATTTCGTGGACTGATTCATTTTTCTGCTGAGCTTGATACAACCTTAAACGAACACATAAAACATGCTTTCAATATTTAAAGGAACTTCGAAAGAAATACAAAACGATCTACTGGATTGCATTCTTGAAGTTTGCTATGAAGAAATAATAAAACAGATTAACAGAGCCTCGTATTTGGCGACAATAGCAGATGAAACAACGGAAATTTCGGGAAAACCCAACTGGTAACAATTTTCAGTTACGTATTTAACGGCGAACCAGTAGAACGTTTTTGGAATTATATGAATCCCGAAAAAGGTGACGCTGATACTCTCACAAGACATATTTTGAGCGTCGTAGATCCATTAATAGGAAATTTCCCTAACAAACTGATTTCACAAAGCTATGATGGAGCCGCGGTAATGGCAAAAATTAAACAAAGATATCCATTTGCTCACTATGTGCACTGCTATGCGCATCAGTTAAACATGATTATGTCCCAAGCTGCTTCCGCAAATGCTCAAGTTCGGGTGTTCTTGGGGGATTTGAAAGATATTCCGGGATCCTCAACGCGTAGAGGTACTGAACAGAATTGTGGGTGAAAAATTCCCCAAGGAGCAACAACTCGTTGGAATTTTAGTATTCGAACAATCAATGTAGTGTTTGAGAACAGAGAATCACTCATTGAATGCATGGAAGAAATAGAAGAAAATTTCACTAATGAAACCATTTGCAAGACAGCTTGCGGTATTCGCCGTATGTTAAACGATTGTGTTTTCGTGTTTTGGTTGACATTTTTTCATCATGTCACGCCTCACGTCGACATCTTGTTCAACCAGTTGCACAAGAGAAAAACCGAGCCAGCGCAAGTTAAAAGTAATATTGAAAAATGTATTGTCGATGTAAGAAATAAAATTGATGACATAATAAATGAAGCCAAAAGCCCAAGGCAACAAAAGGAGACAACGTAGTAATTGCAGTCACGATCACCGAGTTGCCACATTAGAAGTATGCGACAATATAGTGAATTCTGCAAATGACAGATTTCAATTCAAAGATCATTTGGTAGCCGCATCCCTGTTTTTCCCCGAAGACTTTGGAGAATACTGTGGTAAGTTTCCTGATGTCAAGATGGAAACTACCTGCTTGGCTTATCGCGAATTAGAAAAAAGTCGTATAAAGACAGAGTTGTCTGTTATTTATGCACGGAATGATTGCCGAGATTTACATGGAACTCTGTCGCTTTGAAATTTTTGATACAAAATAATTTGGAGGAAACACTAAAAGAAACAAAAAAGCTATTAGAAATTATTGTTACAACTCCTATGTCAACATCAGAGGCTGAGCGAAATTTATCAGCATTGAAAAGAATAAGACCTTTCTTCGAAATACTATGACCCAGGATCGCCTTACAGCGTTGTCAATGCTGTCCATTGAAAAGGAATTTATTTCAACCATGAAAAACTTCAACGGGAAGGTGATCAACAAATTTGCTGCCAAGAAAGAGCGCAGGATTGAACTGATATATAAAAAATAGGTAAGTTCGGATTTGCAGAACACCTGTTTTATTTTGCCACGAGCGGCCACTGATAGCCGATAAAGTCCATAATGTAGTCACATGTAAATGTTAATAAAACATTGGCCAAAAATTCATGTGGTGATTTCTGGGAATACTTTAAGACTATTTTGCTGATTTTAGAAATAGCCACCCGTTTTGCAGCCAAGGGTTCCAGAGGATTTTTTAAGTAACACATTTTAATTTCCAGGAACAGACTATCTCTACTGCAGTATCGCGAATTTTTTATACCCAACACAATAATGGCTCAAAGATGTTATTCTTGGAAAGCCTTATACCTCAGACAAAAACAAAAAAATGTGTTATGTCTGATTTCGAGATGTTTCGATGCTACTCCTATCAATTTATACTGCACTCAATAACACACCAGTTGGACAAACCCCTATAATAACTTAGTTGAGAAGTATGACAATTTACATCTAGGGATCCTTTCAGTCGTTAATTATGAGTCTACTATCAATGTTACTATAACCTTCAAATTGCAGGACCAGTATATTGTATCCAGTATAACAAAATTATTTTTCCCAAAAACAGTTTATCGATAGTTTAAGTCAAACAAAAATATATTTTGTTAGCTGGAAATCAAGATTTCCAAGACTCATTTTTTAAGGCCTTAAAGGGTGAGGCAGTATTGATTTAGAGATACTCCATCTCTGGCGATTAGATGGGTTGTTCTTATAGTCACCATCATGTGAGCCGATAACTTATTTACTACCAAAATTTCAATTTAAACGTAGTGTGGTTTAAAAGTCGTCTGAGAAAAAACTGTTTAGTAGTGCCTTTTAATGTTTAATGTGTACAAAGCTGTAAGCAAGCGTTATTCTTAAAACATGGTAAGAGATACACATTGAGGTAATGTTTAAATGTATGCAAAATGTGGTGAATGTATCTACAACTAAGAAAAAGGAAAACAACGTAATTTTGATACGGTAAAAAAAATCAAATATTTCTCTATGTTTTGTGATTTATACAACTTTTCTGGACAAAATATGCTAATTCCGTTTCAAGTAAGTGCCTCATTTCACGATGAAAGCCAGAATATATTTTTGCGGGACATATCGGGGGGTGGCAGGGTATCGAAATGTTTAAGTTAAAAAAATTTAACTTCTGCACGCCCCGCTATTCAATTCTCAATCAGCGATAGGTCACCCCCCAAAAACGGACATCCTCCTGAACATGAATCCTGAATCCCCCCGTAACTTTTTTGAATGCGTAATTTCAAATTCATCATATGGACCCGTCCAAAAAATACTTTCTAGATCCGTCTCTGATCTTTGTCTATCCAGTGAGCAGATAGTCTAAGGTCAAGTCAAACTAGCGCAGACAATAAACCCGAATGACACCAAGCCGACTTCATTTAATCACTTGTCCTGCAACAAACGACAGGAGAAAGCATCAGCAGCAGCTGGAGCTTCAGCTTCACAATCCACTTATCCGGAATCCGATCCGTACATAACCCTTTGGTAAATTGCAAAGACTAACGATGTACGTTTCCCGTTTATCCACGCATCATTAAACTGCGACGGCATGGCCTCTTTTGACCTCGCCGCTGGCGGATTCATAAAAGGGGCCGGCACCATCAAAGCGATACCTGGCCAGCTGCTGATGTAATGGCCAACAGCCTGCTAGCTGCCAGCCACCGCCATGACATACTTTGTTTTATTTGCCGGAAAACAAGTCGGCGTGGGAGCTACGGTTGGCAAAAGGTGCTGTGAATGTATAGGGTGTAAAGTTAGTAGTGAATCAACGGAAGTCAGGTGATAGAGGGCCTCAAAACCTATCGAATGAACCCCTATATGTGTGGTCCTAAATTTTATAGTTCAGGAGATATTTGGATGCCCAAGCTCATTAAGCTGATTTGGCTATTTGCGTGAAAAATCCGCCATTTTGATTTTACAAAATGTTAATACACACGGTATCACTCGCACTGCTAGGACCAATCTAACAGTACCTAATACGTCAAAATCCATCAAGTCGTTTGGACTGTATCTCATAAAATACAATTTCTTGCTTACACGTATATGTACGAGTAGATACCCACCTGCGTCAAAGGTAGAGATTTTTTAAGGTGAGGCACTTATCGTAGCAAGCTGGAATTTTCAATGTTTATTCTACATGGATTGAATTAGTTTTACAATAAAATGAATGATGAAATACAACCCCAATTTTTTTACCGCCCTCCAAAGTTGAGGGATGTTAGAGATTTTTCACAAAAAAATTAATTTAAGATTTTTTGCGTTGATTTCTCACAAGATCTGGTGAAAAGTGACATAACCATTGCTATAACTAATCATTTAGCTCATCTAAAAAAAAACACAGCCCGAAACCTAATGGTTTAGTTGCAATTGCGATTTAAAGTTCATTATCCCGATTTTTGGAAATTTCACAAAATTGCAATTATCTCCTGAACTATAAAATTTCGGAACACACATGTAGTGGTTCATTCAATATATATTTTGAGGCCCTCTATCACCCGATTTCCGTTGATAGACTACTAACTTTATAACCTGTGTAGGTACATTTGTATACCTATGAATTGTGTAACATCTGAAACTTATCTTGGTCGGCAAATGAAGACGCAGTTGTTGTACTAACTTTGAAGACTTCGGTGGCCTTTTTCAGAGTACGAAATTCAAAATGATAATGGCACGATATTCAATTTATCTATCTCTCGGGTTAGAGTTCATTTGTTTTTGCCCCTACTATACAGTGTGTTCCAATAACAGCTAGAAATGGCAGGCTCATTGCGCGGAGGAATCATGGAGGGGAGTTCTGAGAAGCAAGGTCCGTGGATATACCGGTCGAAGAGAGCCAGACCGTCGACGGCCTGTCGTTGTGACAGGGTCCCGAGTATGTTAGAGAAGACTCATCGATCGATGATGTGGTCGGAGAGCCAGCATCCCAAGTATATGAGCAGTAATCGAGACTAGGTCTTACCCAGGCCTTGTACAGAGTCAGAAGGTTATGTAGAAGAAAGCACTACCTAGCCCTAAACAAATCTCCTAGCTTGTCACAGCAGCTGCAGCTATTGACGATATGTGTTTGTGCCTGATCAAGTCATTGGTGTTCTGGACCGTCCAGCTGAAATGAGCGGCTCTTTGGTAGAACTTGGTCATCCCTCGAAATAGCATGGGTGCAGATCGTTGGGTTCCCAAGCTGTGACAACCTTCAGGGTCAATGTTAGAGAGGCTTGTCACATTGAATTCCTGCATGTAGAGTGCTGTCACCAGCAAAGCTGTGGCTCGGATCGATCGTTCAGGAACTGCACGCCTCTGACCAATGACTGTTCCACTATATGAGTGCACGGATGTCGCCTACCATCATTAAGAAGATAACTTGTCAATTAGTCCTTTTTGCCAGTTGAAAAGATATGTAACTACCTTTATACGATAGCCTTCAATCAAGCAGCATGGCACTGATTTCGTTTTTAGTTTATCAAACAGGCACAACGTCTTTGGTCATGAGGCCAGGCCAAGATTTTTATCCTGCAAGTATGTCAAAGTGAGACTCATTCACGTTTTGCACAAACGAAATACTTCTCTTTCGTACATTATTATACCGACATTTTGTGTTGGTATTGCAAATAAATTTGGTGTGTTATGCCACAATGATGCTCTGTAGTCGATCCGCTGTGGATACCAAAACATCGTCAAGCAGACCGTTTCGATGCAAGAGCGTAATAAGGCCTTTTTAATTGCTATTGATGCATAGAGAGTGTCAAACTTAAACCAGACGTGTATAAACCTGATACAGACGTGTCATAGCAGATCCGGATATTGTTGACCTGTAAAGTACTTAGGACTTATAAGGATCCTGTTGGAACAATACTCCACAGCAAGTCCCTTCAATTTTCTTAGATCCTCCCAGAGAAGGTATTAATAACACCTTCTACGATCTGGTTTTCATAAGTTATAGTAATAGCAATAGAACCGATCAAAGATGAACTTTGGAGGAGCGCCACGCTTCAAGGATCTTGAGCAACTACTTAGTGGCGAATTAGAACAGGGTCCTTTACATAAGCAATCAGATGGACGGATATAAGGTGTACATTTTCTGGATGATGGATGTGTTCGTGTGAAATTTTGATGGGAGAGGATAATTGAGGAAAGTGGACCAGTTTGGATAGAATTTGGAATGTCGCAGGTTAATAACCGATTAAAAAATGGTTCATTAGCGTAGCGTGAAATGTTTGCTGAACAAATGGTAAGACGACTTAATTTGTTATCATTTTTCAGTTCATGTGGGATCTATTTGCTTAACTTCCACGTCTTTCCTAGCTGATGAATATGCAAACGAATAGTTTCAGGACTCACTCTGAACATTTCTGCAAGTTGTGAGAAAAGAAGGATTCATACTAAAGTGACAACAGGTAACAAACAATCGCTATCGATCAACAACATCCATGGCAATGTGCGATATACAGCAACCGCACGAACCTATTTGGTTACCTTAGGCTCGTATCGTCAGTCGAATTGTAGGGCACCTTTATGGCCTCTTTGATTGTCATAGTTTTCTACTTCTCCGTGTCAGAAGTCTATTTTGAGGTTATGTCACAAACATCTATTTGCATCAAATTGTGCTTGCTTTTGAGTTATATCATGTTTTTTCAGCCTGAAATTTGCTACAATTTAAAAAGAAAACATATCTTCACCATAGGAG